AGCTGCGGAGGTGAACGATATGTGATTTATCCCTGATGGCAACGTTATCTGCTTAGGCAGGATGTATGATGATTGCATGCTTTGCTACGTATGGCCAAACTGTTGTCCAAGAACGTTCGCCGCCTCTTGTGCGGTTTGGGCTAACCCGCATGCTGTGTGCAGGGCAGGAATATCGCGCTTAACACGGCGCAAATTGTTTACGTGTCTGTATAGCAGTTTGGGCTTGGAGCAAAACCTTTCCACTAGACCTTGTTGGTTCTTCAGTTTATCCTCCCGGACGAGTTTGGCACAGTGGTTTCTTCATAGTGTGTAGACATCCCAGATATGGTCGTTCAGGAGGCTGTGTAGGTGTGCCATGCCAAGTCCCTTAATGCCATGCATTTACGTGTCCTGTTCCTTACGAAAGACTTCATCCTTTTAGGCCGGCAGAGTTTGGTTTCAGATGTCCTTGCCACGAGCTCGGTAAGTATGTTGACGAATTCTCCGCAGGCCACCTCAGGAATTAATTCCTCTAAGAACGACCAGCTGGTTGCATCAATGAGGTCGGACAGGTCGTCATAGTTGGTTACATGATATTCCTCGGCATGCTCTTGAGGATAATCCGGGTAGCACATGTAATGAAACACTAGCGTCACATGATCACTGTGGTCCAGAGGAGTATCGGTTATCACTCTCTCGACCATCAGTTCTTCATTGGTGAATATTCGGTCCTGTCAGTTTCCCCTGAACCTGGTGGGTGTAGTGACGTGGCCATAAAGCGGGACGTCTAAAATAGAATGATCCGTATATTCATGTGATCCAGTGTGCATTTCAAGCAGCACTTTATTATTCATTGCTTCACGTCTATTTGCAGTAAGCGAAGTATTATTCTCAAATTTGTGGTAACCACTGAGTGGAGCAATATCAACTGGATGCGAGGAGCCAGATGACTGTTTGTTATTTTGGTTTGCCTCAGACTTTCGCCACCTTATCTCTCGTTATAGCAGGGTTTTGTCCTCCAAAATTTTCAGACGTTTGCAAGTCGTATTAAGCACAATAAGATTGTGCTTTTGAATGAATTGTTTAGTAATAAGTTCATTTTAATACTTCAAAAGTATGGGACACGCGTAACGCATTACATTTTTGCGTAGTCTGATGCAGCTGGACCAACAAGATTGCATACCCCATGTAGTGAGAAGCACTTACTGAATAGTTTTTAAGTGAATTGTCTGGCACATTAAAAACTACAACATTACGTGGACAGCGTACTCGATTGTGTAGTTCGGTCGAAATGGAGTCTATCAATTCACTGCACTCCATCAGATTCCTTTTTATCAATATTTGAGGGCGATTCAAATAAGACAGCCAAACTTTGCAAAGGTTTCAATATCGATGTGAACATGTCGACTTTAATACAAATTCAACATATGCAGTTTCAGCTGCGGATGGACACTTTTCAGGTGTCTCAGGTCAGCATGTAGTCCAAGGGAATTTCGCACAGCGTCTGCACTGCTTTGGGTATATTTTTTACTACTGCTTCCAGTCGTTGTTCGGAATACTTTAGTTCATTGTCTCAGCTTTTGAACTAATATGGGAGCATCCTGACCTATAATACTTCTTTTTCTCCTCGAAAGTAAGCTACACTAATGCAAAATCGAAGGAGCTATGAAAATGCGGTGTATTAGTCAAATTTTTCCAGAAACCGGTGCGAGATTCATTGGTCATTTGAGTAAATTCAATCTACCTTGCAATGTAAAACACATATTCCGGAAAGGTTTTTCGTGTCTGACGAATCTATTAGTGGCTCGCTGAAGTTGGGCGGAGGCAATGGGTAACGGTTACGCACTGGACGTGCTTTTCATCGACTTTTCGAAGGCATTTGACAAGGTACCTCATTTGAGGCTCGCGCAAAAGCTGGCCTCCTAAGGGGTATGTGACCGCGCCCTTCATTAGGTGATTGCCTTCTTGGGTGGTAGAGAACATTGTGTACGGGTAGGCCGTGGCATATCGTTTAGGCAGTCTGTCCTCAGTGACGTGCCGCATGGCTCGGTTCTTGGACCGCTGCTGTTCTGTATCTATGTGAATGACCTACCTGTGGACCTTGAGGTACCACCGCTGCTATTTGCTGATGACCTGAAGCTGTGAGACATTGTCGATGTTCTTTGGGGTTCTGAAGCTATTCAGCGAGCCTTGGATAAGCATCGAAATTGGTCTACTTTATGGTTACTACCCATAAATTAGGCAAAGTGCTCTGTTCTTTGATTTGGAGGAGGTTTTCCTCCTGCGAAGTACTTGGTCGGTGGGGTTTGTTGTATACGTAAGGTCAAAACGCACGAGCAAGTTAAAAGGTCATTCTTTGTGTAGATTTAATCTACCTTGCAATGTAAAACACGTATTCCGGAAAGGTTTTTCGTGTCTGACGAATCTATTAGTGGCTCGCTGAAGTTGGGCGGATGCAATGGGTAACGGTTACGCACTGGACGTGTTTTTCATCGACTTTTCGAAGGCATTTGACAAGGTACCTCATTTGAGGCTCACGCAAAAGCTGACCTCCTACGGTGTATGTGACCGCACCCTTCATTAGGTGATTGCCTTCTTGAATGGTAGAGAACATTGTGTACGGGTAGGCCGTGGCATATCGTTTAGGCAGTCTGTCCTCAGTGGCGTGTCGCATGGCTCGGTTCTTGGACCGCTGCTGTTCTGTATCTATGTGAATGACCTACCTGTGGAGCTTGAGGTACCACCGCTGCTATTTGCTGATAACCTGAAGCTGTGGAACATTGTCGATGTTCTTTGGGGTCCCGAAGCTATTCAGCGAGCCTTGGATAAGCATCGAGATTGGTCTACTTTATGCTTACTACCTATAAACCAGGCAAAGTGCTCTGTTCTTTGATTTGGAGGAGGTTTTCCTCCTGCGCAGTACTTGGTCGGTGGGATTGTACTCCCCTGTTTATCCAGCCAGGTTGAGTTAGGCGTCATACACTCTTCGACGATACACTCCGGAGACAACTGGAAGAAAGCCGCAAGCAGAGGTTTCCGCATGTTGTGCTTAATACGACGTTCTCTCGGAGTCTTGACGGGTGGCATCTTTGCGCGACTGTTTTCGGCTTTCGTTCGGCTTCATCTGGAATACTGCGTTCAGGCTTGTCCGCCCTGCCTCGTCCGGCACACAATGGAGCTAGTGGATTTTACGGGTGGGTACTAGATTACTTGAGGGATTCGGGGACGGACATATCCCGAGCGTCTACTTAGTTTGGGAATGCATTCAATGCACTACCGAAAACTTAGAGGGGAGTTAATCCTAACCTCCCGTATCTTGACTGGGAAGATTGGTCCAGATTTATCTTGGCTATTCAGTCCCACTAGATTATCTGTTCTACGCGGTCATTCCTTGAAACTGAACAAATCGCGGTCCGATCGGATTAGGACGGAACTCCGGCTGTCAGCCGAGTTTTCGACCGCTGGAACATGCTTCCGGAAACTGTTACCATGGGATCTACAGTTAAGGGGTTTGAGCGGCAACTTGACGTTCTTGGGTGGTAACACGAAACCTTTCTTTTTTCCTGACTAGCTCGCATCTTCATACTTCGATTTTCTTTTCTCTACTTTTCTTCATGCCTTGATATTTTCTTATTTCAAGTGAACTTCCTTACTCTATACCTTCGATTTCTCTTCCTATCCTTTGTTTACTTCACGAGACTGCCACAGCAGGGACTGCTAGGGCAGGAAACGTGCGCATTAACCGGTTGGCCAGGGTGCGATACGGGTGTTCCATTTTAGATCCATTAATAACTCCGTGCTCAACGATCCACTCAAGATAGAACACGCACGGGATTCTCCCATCGTTCCAGTCCCACCCGAACTTGCATTATCCCTGGTCAGACTCCGCACATACTCGATCACGTGCTTTTGCCTGCACAGCCGGATGTTTCCGATTTTAACGTTTTGCCGCCAATTGGGAGGAGTGACCACTGTCTACTTTCCTTTCACTGGACCACACGGTTTAGCATTCACAACCCCTGTCTATCGTCGGAATTTCTGGCGCGCTGATCCAAACCACTTGAAGATAGCCGCTAGCGAGCAGGATTGTAGTCTTCCGCAGCACTTAAACATCGATAATGCTTGAAGTATTGTCTACTCAAAGAAGTCCGTTATTGATGAAGTTGTTCCCATATCCAAACGAAAGCCCTTTACTAGAGGTCCCCTTGGATTGACAGAGAATTACAATCGCTCATGCTTATCTATACTTTGTTACCTAGTACTGTATCTCCATCCCACTCCTGGAATATATTTTGGATTTATTTGCTGTTACATGTTTGTGCTGTGCAACTACACGGATCGCAGGACTACAGCGAAACAAACGGTAAGTCCCTCTTTTAAACTAAATAACCCACAGCATTTTTATTTTTCGATAACCCTGTAAAACCACCCAACGGGATATGTAAAGCATTGCTTCTTAACCAATATAAATTCATTGTTCATTGTTCAACACAACGCATTTAGTTATTCTCGGAAATTTGTACTAGTAAATTAACTGGACGTCCCAACCGACTTCCCGGAACTAGCATGCGCACACCTTGATTTCACATTTCAATCAATCGTCACTTCTGCTCACATTTCAGTACACAAATGAGGTAAGTCATTTTCGTGGGCAAATCATCCGAACGAGACAGTGAAGGTTTAACTGCTCAGACTGTAAGCGTACTTCCAATCATAGTATCATAAACGCCCGCATAATATCCACCCAAGCCAGCAACCACCGTTACTCTCCATCTTAGTAAACAACATGATAATGTTAGCATTTGCTTTGCCTAGTGGGTCAACTGTTTTTACGTGTTAATCGTCTAGTCATCTTGCACTCACTCCTGGTATTCTATTCATCTGCATCAAAACAGATGCGACGAAGCCAATACCATTATTTGGCAAGTGACTCCCATCTGTCATGCCCAATTCCTCAGGTGCATTTCATACCAAGGTGTAGAAAGTTGAACATTTGTGTGATAAGGTTTCGAACAGAATAAATGACCGAACAGCTGTGCGGTGAGTTTGAACTGTCTCAGTCTTCTCTTCTGTGCCCTTAACCTTTACAATCAGATAATATCAGGATACTGGGTAACTTCGTCACATCGCAACTTCTGGTACGACCTAGCCATTTCTTCATGTCCCAATAAATAGCGTTTACAATACATAGTTTATCGGCGCTCATTTGGTGAACGTTTCCCGTTTAATAAATTTAACAAATCGTGTGTTTTGCAACGAGTAAGTGCAGATTGAAGCGCTTTTAAATATCCATCAAAGTTATGGCACTATCGTAAAATTTATATGACGGATAAAGCGATGAATGTGGTAATCTGCGATTGCGAAATATTGACTATATGGAGATTTGGGACAGCATACATCACACATACGCGACCAAGTCAACCTCAACAGCAAAACCCGGGTTAAATAACAATATGCCATCTTCAAAATGAAAAACCCAATTAAGACTTAGGTTTGCACATAATTTCTTGCTGCATGTGGAAGATAAGTTCGGCGAATTGTTCATCAAGTGTGCATTGTCCTACAAATTTCGATGTGAGAGTTGATGTGTTCCGAGCTGGGTACTTTTATTGCAGACTTTTCATTGCCAAGCTAGGCAACATCCTCAGTGCGACTATTAGGGTCTGTTTCGCAGAGCATCGTAAGCAACTGCCAGATCCAAGTGAATATTGATCGGCTCCTGCTTTGATTCTCATCAGTGATTAAGGGCAACTTGTTTAAGTCAAAACAATTACCAGGTGCAATGTATTCTCCTGGAAAGAAGGATTTCCGTAACCCAGCGACATGTAAATGAAAAATCCCCAGTCGGGTTAAAATCACTCCACGCACTTGATTTGCTTTCAGTTGGTGGTGCACCTTCTTCCTTTCGCCAACACTTAATCTCCAAATACACATGGCATTCATTATTCCATCCCCATTGAACGATATCGTCTCTACAGTTGCCTGTGGGGGTGCGGGAAATAAAATTTAGAAATTATTGACAATACCTGTAGCTCGGCGTGTGGATGAGAAGGTTGATGTATTCTCCGAGCTGGGTACTTTGTTGCAGACGTTTCATTGCCAAGCTAGGCAACATCCTCAGTGCGACTATTAGGGTCTGATTCGCAGAGCATCGTAAGCCACTGCCAGATCCAAGTGTATATTGATCGCCTCCTGCTTTGATTCTCCGTCTTAGATTCGCTCACGTGGGTCGCTCAACTGGTCGCGCCTTCGCCCTGTCGATCTGGTATTTATTGTTGTCATCACATGCAGAGCTTCGTAGACACCCTCTAATTCGAAGTGCTTGTTGCTTGAGTTCCGGCCCGAATGCCAGCCTTTGATGAACTCACTCGCTCTGCGGTTCTTCGCTCTTCCAAGTATCTTGGCATTTCCCAGATCGAACTGATGGCCTTCGGCATCCATACGTACTGATATTAGTGACTTTTCATTATGGCGGCGGATTGCCAGACTGTGTTCATGCAGTCTTGTACCAAGTTTCCTCCCTGTCTGGCCAACGTAGTACTTGTCACAATCTTTGCAGCAAAGTTTGTAAATCACACTAGATGTTTCTTCTTTACTCAGCTGGTCTTTTACCCTAAAAGGTTTACTCCGAACGGTTTCCGTTGCTTCATGTGCAATGTTGATTCCGTGGGGCATTAAAAGCCTCGGTGCCATTTCAGAGATCCCATAGATATAAAGTAGGACGATGGTTTTCCTTTCCATTGCGCTGCTGGAAGGGGGTTGTACTTGGTTCTCCGACATCAGGCAGCGTGGAGTAAAACGTATAGGGTACGAATTCCGCTGAATCATGTTAAATAGCTGGTCTTCCTCCGCTTTCTTCAGTTGCAGCGTGTTACAGTGTGTTTGGGCCCGTTTGAAAAGTGTCCTGATGCAACTACGTTTGTAAATCGCCGGGTGATTACTGCAATGGTTTAAAATCTGATGAGTGTGAGTTGCTTTTCGATCGACTGTTGTTTCCAGGGACCCGGAAGTATGTCTTTTGACGAACACGTCCAAGAATGGCCACTGGTCATTGTTCTCCTCCTCTTTGGTGAAATACATGCCGGGGAAGATATTGTTGATAAGATGATGTGTTGCTTGTAGTTTGCAGCGCTTGGTGATTACATAGTGTCGTCCGCGTAACGTACGCTAAGTTTGGGCTACACCATCTGCAGTGCCTTTTGTTCCATTGCTTACAGCACTGCCTCGGTTGCCAGTCCAGAGATTAGTGAGCCCAGTGGCATGCACATGATCTGTTTTTACGTCTCACTACACACTTCACTTTCAATGGGGGATCCCAAACTTAACGTACGTTACCTGGACGATACTTTCTCATCATCAAGCGCTCCAAACTACGAGCAAAACATCATCTTATCAATAATATTTTCCCCGGCATGTATTTCACCAAAGAGGAGGAGAAAAATGACCAGTGGCCATTCTTGGACGTGTTCGTCAAAAGACATACTTCCGGGTCCCTGGAAACAATAGTCGATCGAAAAGCAACTCACACTCATCAGATTTTAAACCATTGCAGTAATCATCCGGCGATTTACAAACGTAGTTGCATCAGGACACTTTTCAAACGGGTCCAAACACATTGTAGCACGCTGCAACTGAAGAAAGCGGAGGAAGACCAGCTACTTAACATGATTTAGTGAAATTCGTACCATAAAGGTTTTACTCTACGCTGCCTGATGTCGAAGAATCAAGCACAACCCCCTTCCACCAGCGCAATGGAAAGGAAAACTATCGTCCTACTTTATATCTATGGGATCTCTGAAATGGCACCGAGGCTTTTAATGCCCCACGGGATCAACGTTGCACATGAAGCAACGGAAGCCGTTCTGAGTAAACCTTTTAGGGTAAAAGACCAGCTGAGTAAAGAAGAAACATCTAGTGTGATTTACAAACTTTGCTTCAAAGACTGTGACAAGTACTACGTTGGCCAGACAGGGAGGAAACTTGGTACAAGACTGCATGAACACAGTCTGGCCATCCGCTGCCATGATGAAAAGTCACTAATATCAGTACATATGGATGCCGAAGGCCATCAGTTCGATCTGGGAAATGCCAAGATATTTGGAAGAGCGAAGAACCGCAGAGCGAGTGAGTTCATCAAAGGCTGGCATTCGGGCCGGAACTCAAGCAACAATCACTTCGAACTAGAGGGTGTCTACGAAGCTCTGCATGTGATGACAACAATAAATACCAGATCGACAGGGCGAAGGCGCGACCAGTTGAGCGACCCACGTGAGCGAATCTAAGACGGAGAATCAAAGCAGGAGGCGATCAATATACACTTGGATCTGGCAGTGGCTTACGATGCTCTGCGAATCAGACCCTAATAGTCGCACTGAGGATGTTGCCTAGCTTGGCAATGAAACGTCTGCAACAAAGTACCCAGCTCGGAGAATACATCAACCTTCTCATCCACACGCCGAGCTACAGGTATTGTCAATAATTACTAAATTTTATTTCCCCCCCCCCCACAGACAACTGTAGAGACGATATCGTTCAATGGGGATGGAATATTGAATGCCATGTGTATTTAGAGATTGAGTGTTGGCGAAAGGATGAAGGTGCACCATCAACTGAAAGCGGATCAAGTGCGTGGAGTGATTTTAATCCGATTCGGGTTTTTTCATTTAGATGTCGCTGGTTTACGGAAATCCTTCTTTCCAAGCGAATGCATTGCACCCGGTAATTGTTTTGACTTAAACAAGTTGCCCTTAATCACTGATGAGAAGGAACGTGTGAAGTATGGAACATTTTCTTTTAAGGCAACTATAGTCTTAATGTCTGAACTTTTACGCAGCCGCTACAATTTCAGTACTATATTAGGTAAAGCAGATCGCTTTACATGAATGAAGTGTGCCTGTATTCCCCTCCTCATTACTAATCATTCTGAATGCCTATCTTCAGTCGAATGCACTCGGATCGAGAATCCGTATACTGAACGGCAGTAACTGCGCCGCTCAAGAACTTACCTGCATTATCGCTCATAAGAAGTCCTAAACATACAACGAAATCTTGAGGTCAAACACGATGATGGTGGTATTTTCATCAATGCATGCTTCACCCACAGAAGTTCAAGCATTGTATTGGGATGGTAAGTAGTGCATGGTTTAGTAACCGATGTTACAATTAAACCGTGCTTAATTACTTACCTCTATCAGTATTCTGCTGAAATCGATCACTTAGATTTCATTAATCATAGATCCCACCATTCATGTAGCTTAGTCATGTCGAGTCAATACAGTAGAACAATGCTTTATGGCACGTAGAAAAGCACAAACTAGGCATATCCAATTGCTTGGTACTTATGAAATTGCAAATTCGAATAGTACCACTTAGACTGAATAAACTGCTTATCGGTGCTTAGATGGTGGGCAGCATCCGGTTTCGGATTTGCCTGTCACTGTGGCCAGCCAGAGGACGCCTGCGCCTACAGAGGGACCATGGGTAGCTTGCGCTGCACCACCCACAGCTCCAACCACACACCCCATATGCAGTGAAAACCCGAAGGAATAAGACCAGGAGGCATATGGATGGGAGCCACGTTACATCAACGGAGCAGACTCATACTTCTTCCTGGGGCAAACACCGACACGCTGTATCTGGGGAATCAAGCGCACACAAGGCGGTGGCTGGACCGTAGTCCGCTCCACACAGAGTGCATGAAATCGCTCTTCGAGCCTAGCACGGCCACAAGGACTTTGCACCCGGTCCCCTTTAGCAACGACCAACTGTCTCCTAGAGCCAGTATGGACGAGGTAGTGGGTAATAGACAGGTAGGCACCTTGTCAACATGCACATCAAGCGCAGCCACACCGGGGATATCAAGCAACAGTCAATCACCTGAAACGACAAGAAGAAATAAAACAAATCCAGTAATGCATACAGATACAGTGGCATAACACTTTGCTAAATTAGCATATCAAGTAAGTTGGTTAGCAACGAATACGTGATAAGAAAAAAAGTCCGCAAGTTACTTAAAAATGCTACAAACGCAATAAAGTTACCGAAGATAAACGCAATTAGCGTAAGCAACATGGTTAGTTAATAGATTATTCATGTAGGCAGAACAAATCAACTAAAGTGGAATGAAATTTAGCCAGCCTCAAAAGACCTAGTTTAAGTGTACGTTGGTTTAGCGCAACTGCGGTGAAGAAGCATCAAGTATGCAATATCAGCCTCAGCATGGGGCGCCGGTGCTTAGATAATGGTATAAGAATCGTAGGTTGTTGGGGTGAGATGGCACAATGTAAAACGGGTTGACAATTTGTTGTTGTTGTTGTTGTCAATAAGAATAACAAATAATCGGGTTACTCACCCTTCTGCACAGAGTTAACTGCCTCATTGTGGGTTCTACTCACAAAGACGCTTGTTAGCCCGGATATATCCAGTGTATCTACTCATATAACAAATTGTAAAGAGCTCATTGCGATGTCCAATCGCTCTATTTTTGAAAATGCCTAGAGCGTAGACACAAACAACTGAGTTTGCAATTGTGTTCCGGGCTGGGAATACCTAGAGCGAGAGAGAAATACGTTCGTTGACAATCCAGACGTGCGTATTGGTGACTTAGTTCCAGGCTGTTACCTCTGACGTTGGCGTTCAGACTGATTTTCAACAGGTGTCCGCAAACATGATTAGGGTTACCCAGGATTTGGTAAACTAATATGGAGTCTCCACTTAGCCACCGGTATTGTTCCCTGAATATTTCGAGTATCTTCAGCCGGTTTTGTTACGAAAGGTGGCTCAAAAATTGTCTCAAAATTGTGGAGTACCGAGCCCTGTAAGGACACGCTTTAGTGAGTGCTGCCATGCATGGATAGCGTTTTCCACATGTAGACCTATGTAGTCATTAAGCATCATAGAGGAGAAGGATGAATCAAACCTCCCGAGTGCGCTCTGCAAGAGGCCAACATATCGGTTACCAATTGCGGAAGAGTAGTAGGGAGAGTTGAATGTTATAGGAAGAAATTCATCACATCTAGGCTCACTCAGACAGCCGTCACACTCCCGACAAAGCACTGTACGCACGTTTCATCCTTTCGGGAATCGTAGCAGTGCGCATTCCATCGGGCCCTGGTTGGGCTCGAACCCGCAACTCGACTGTTGCCAGTCCGTGGTTGAGACCACTGAGCTACGGGGGACGGTAACGACCATCGTGAATAAGTTACTAAATGTGATATAGCGCCGCTCACTATCCACTGACTTACATGTTACTGCCGCGCAGAGGACAGGGTAGCTCCCTCACCAAGCGACGAGCTTACCAAACTTAAGCCGCCAATTAACTCATGGCATTATAAGCAGTTTGGTCTGTGTACTGATTGCAGAAGAGTAGTAGGGAGAGTTGAACTTTTATGCGGACTGACTGCTTAGAACAACCGAGGTCGTCCTGTACCAGCACACCGAGGTCACGTTCAGATCGTGTACCCCAAGCTTGTACATGCAGGTATGCCAGTGGCGGTTGTGGACGACGCGGCACTTGTCCACATTGAATAGCAATACCTGTTATTGTTTTTAATGTATTAATCTTTCTGATACATTCAACTTCATCTTACTCTAAATTCGTTTGTAAACCATGCTGAGAAATGTTCAGTCATCTGTTTTATGCAAAATCGCCGTACCTATTTGATTAGTTTAGTGAGTTGAACTGTCTCGTTTTGTCCAGAATTACCTTACTTATTTGTCTCTCACCGACCAAATTCAGGACACATCGAGGTCGTGCTGCAAGACTTTGTGGTCGTCCAGTCCCTTGATCGCTCACGAAATCTTAACCACCTCTCATAACTCTCAGTAGATCGTTAGTAACAACAAAGAACCGGTTAGGCCCAAGTACTGAACCCTGTAGTAGACCGCAGGCCGCTGGAATCGGGTCGGATAAATGTGCTTGGACTCTTGGTTTCACTTGTATGCCGAGCTTCGTAACTGGTTTGCAAAGGTTTCATCACCAGACTTGGTGACTTGCTCAGCACGCTACTGGGTCAAATGTTTGGACTCTAACTTCCAATTGCCGTTCGCGGAGAACGTTACCAATCCATCCTAATGCTGGACTTCCGATATCATAGTGTTGTGGTTTTTGAAGTAGGATTCCATTATTCAAACGGTCGAACGCTATTACAATGTCCAAGTAGATAACATCGGTTCCTGTCCCCTCATCAACTGTTTCCGTTCACTTGTCTCGTGCTATCAGTGGATTCATGATACATGACCGATGTTGACGAAACCCACGCAGCCCCGGTGCAATGAAGCCGTGGCTTACCAGGTAGCCCATCAGTGCGACTACGATGATCGCTTTCATGATCTTGGAGATAACAGAGAGAGGTGTTACCAGGTGGTAATTAGCAGGGTCAGCTCAACCCCTTCCATTGTAAATAGGGGTGATAATACACCGCTTCCCGTTTGACGAAATGATGTCGTATATGCGACGCTGAAAGAATCCAGCTAATAGTTGGGGTAGGTGCATGGTTGCTACTTGCAGTGCTTTGTGGTGAATGTTATCCGCTTCAGGAGAACAGTGTAAACGCTGGCAGTGAAATTGACGCTGGATAAAATCGATATCGCCGCGACAAAATCAGGACAAACGTTCGATGCTCCTACCTCTCGGAAAGCAGGTGAGTGCCGAGCGCGTAAGTCGTTGACCGCCTCTTGCTATAAGTGTTCAGCCCGCAACTGTAGTGCATGGTGAGAATCCGTGCTACATCTTACGACGTCTATTCACGTGTTTGTATAGAAGCTTGTAGTTCGAGCAGTATCGTTTCGCTAACTTGTCTTCACGAACCAACTGCAGAGTGATTGCGCTGAGCTACCTGCATTGTTCAATTTTCTGAACTGAGGTTGTTCTTGTAAATGCTTCATGTCTGATCCCTCAAGACTTCACAAAAATGAGTTTAGCTTGAGGAGACGGTGGAAAGCTTTTGACCTCGATGCTTTTGCGACTAGTGAAGCGGATTTTTAAGAATGTTTACCATGCTATTTCTGGAGTGCATTCAATGAACAATGAATTTATACGGGTTAAGAAGCGTTGCTTTACAAGCCCCGTTGGATAGTTGCTGGGGATATCAACATAACAATTATGATGAAAAGGATAGTAAAATAGTTAATACTTTAAATACGAAAATAAGGACTTATCGTTTGCTTCGCTGCAGTCCTGCGATTCACTTAGATTCACAACACCCACAGTTAACAACAAATAATTCCAGGGTAAAGTCCAGGTGTAGGATGGAGACATAGTGTTAAGTAACAAAGTGTAAGTGGATGAGTGCATCGTCCAACCGTCTTTTAAACACTGTTAGTGTCGGTGCAGAGACGACCGATTCTGTGAGAGCATTCCACGGGTGACAGACACGAATGGAAAAGAAATTTCTGCGGCACTCCAGACGACTGTATTGTTCTGCGAGTTTTAATGACTGGCCCCTCAGGTTTGTATTGCTGCTGAGTTGCAGTAAAGGGCGGCACACATGATGTGGGTCTCGCAGAATCAAGTATGTCATAATCATGTCGCCTCGTAGCCTGCGATAGCTTCCACTGAACAATCCTAGTCGTCGCAGCCTCTCCTGGTAGGACCGATTGCGCATTCCAATTACGTTCTTAGATGCCCGGCGTTGTGGCTGCTCCAGTGCATTAAGGTCGTGTTTCAGCCATGGATGCTAGGCTTGAATTGCATATTCGACATGGGGGCGAACCTACGCACTGAGCATTTGTCGAAATACGGAGCTGTTTATTTGTCCAAACGCCCGCGTCAACAGCCCAACGTGTTGGTTCCCGGTGTTCGAGGCCTTTTCGGATTGCCTGGAGCAACCCAAGTCATCATGAACCAGGACACCTACGTCACGTTCGAGAGTTGATTGTTGCA